TCTATAGTTCGCCCTTTATCCTCTGTTGACGACGACTGACCCCCTCCCTCTCTCATGAAAACCATGTGACCCTCTGCAAAATCCTCCCACCCCCTTCATTAAATAATGAATGGTCCCCTAGATCCCACTAAATGAGGATAAAATATCGTCCCACAGTTATAACCCTACCCTTCACCCCTACCTTAGTGCCCATTCCACACCCCTCACCCCTTACTATTCTACCCATGATCCCTCCCCAGTTTAGGCTTGTCCCGCTTGTGATCGACTACCCTTGAGCAACCTCTGCCGTTTGGAGCAACTTTTGGCGGTTCTAGCAATGTCAGAAAATTTTTGGTTTGGAGCAAGTATCAAGCACGAAGAAGTCAACGATTTCATAGAAAACATCAATTTATGCAAATTTCTTGAATGATTATCAACCTTGAAGGGCTCAGCTAATTTTTTTTTTTACTCACTTGTGTTATAGGCAATCGTCGTGTCAAGTTTGAGGAGTTCCTCGCTATCTTCTTGGCTGAGAAACAAAAGGCAAAACCGGTCACCGCCCAGCAGTTTATCGACACGTTGAGCGTTTTTGACAAGGACAATGCCGGCAAGGTCTCCTCTGCTGAACTACGTCACGTGTTAACTGCGCTCGGTAAGCTGGGAGCCATAAATCTTTTTGGTCCATAAAGCTTCTTTTCATTTGGGTGTGGTAAAACCGAACCCGTTATAATCCAAACGTGTCATCAGAACAGGGTAAAAGGTCTTAACCCTTTTATTCCCAGAAGGATTAACATGTAACTTCTCCCTATAATACAATACACTATCCAGCAAACAGGTAGTAATAATACTGAAACTTATCAGTTACAAAATATTTTCTTGATCGAACACCAAATTCTCGTAACCAATTTACAAAGAAATGTGTAGCAGCTAGAGGAGAGAACTAAAAATCAGATCTTGGAAGCCAATGAGTAAAAAAAAGTCACGCGTGGGATCAAGTCACGAATAGTTTTATTTGATTGGTCGGGGAGATGGTGTGAGTTTTTTAGACCAATCACAGAGCTAATAAAAGCAAAACTAGTCTCATCTAGGACACTAAAAGCTAGAACCAAGTCAGGCCTTGGGTCCCGGTGATGCTAGACCCTCGAAACGGTCATTTGTTGGCCAAAATTGTACAGAATCATTTGCAGTTTGGTTGTTTTTACAGTGAAGCGTTTTGATTGTTCATTAGTGAAGTTCAATGAGTTGGGGGGTACTGATGACGTATTCTATTGGTCACTATTTGGGTCTACAACGAGCTCCATTTGACCCAAATAAAACAAATAGGAATTTCGCTAGTAACCCCAGGTAATCAGCGGTCAAGCCAGGGCATGCGCGAGGGGATCAATGTTGGGTGTTCGCGCGTTAATTTACCGTGTACAATTTCGAAGGTAAATGTAACAAAAAACCGCCGTCTCGCAAAATAAGTAAAAGAAAATTCAAAACATTCATAGAAATCTGTGAAAGGAAAAACAAGGTGGGAAAGGGAAAACTTTCAGACTTTTCGAACACAAAGCTAATTTCAATTCGGATATCTTGTAGATTTACCACTCTGTTTTGAGCTTTGCCAAAAAAGTTATACGCCTTTAGAATACCGCGACTTACTAGCTTGTGTGGCTGTCTATAACACGCGAGAGACAACTTGATTCTAACAGCTTGAAAGCACGCCACCTAGTCAATATAACGTTTGCAAATGCGCAGACGTTTGACCGCTTGCCTGTGTTGCTGGCCTACTGGTGAAGAGTTCCCTTTATGAGCCCTCAGTCGGTGAGAGGGTTTTGTTGACTGTTGCGTTTTGCTTTGTGTCAGACACTTCATTGGTCGTTTATAAATCAGTCCTATAATCATTGAACCTAGACCAATTAACATATTTAAGTCCAAGGTAGTTCTCGCAAGGTTGTGTCTATTTTTAATCGTAACGAATTGTTTTGTTTCAAAGGCAATAAACTCAGAGCCAAAGAAGTGGACGTTTTATTTGAAGATGTTGGGGAACATGCCGGATATGTCAACACTGCAGGTATAATAAACTTGATTCCAAATCACGAATTCCACTTCAGAGAACAAAATCGAGCAATTATATTAAATTACTTATAAATGTTTGGTTCTCCTTACTCCGCAGATTTCGTCAACATGGTCATGTCGAATTAGCAACGAAGACCGCTATGTACCATAACATGAAGTTTTAATTATCGATGAGTTGTGGAAACAATTTAATGACAATAAACAGTAGATATGGCCTTAATTTTTTCCCTGATTTCCAGGGCTTACAAATGAGAGAAGCGTAACTTGATTTAAAATATGGTAGCATTTCTTTTTACATCTTATTAAAGAGATTTTTACTTTTCGTAATGACTTAAAGTATTCATTCACGCTTTCTGAGATTCTCCATTCCCTACGTCTTCCATACAGAATCACCGAGAGACTCAATAGCACTTCAGGAACTATAGCTGCTGTTTGTAAATACGTCAATTGTTTCACCTCTCACCAGTCCACTCTCTAAATCCTAACATCATCCTTAGGTGCTGACAAGAAGAATTTGTTTTACAATCAAGAGCTTTTTTTTTTTTTACCTTAATGTTTGTTTCAGGGGTGATATTAAAAAAAGGAATTAGATGCTAGTCACTATAAAGGTAGATTTTCTATGATAAGAAAAATCCTACACGCTTTTTGATGGGTTCTTACCTATGATCTATTGTAGCACAGACGCATAGATTACGTCACCATTGCCAATCTTTTGCTTTTTTATCACGAAAGACAAATATATTTCATTTGGTCTTGGGTCTGTACAGTAACGGATCACAAGAGACGTTAAAATTAGCCGATGAATACTAAAAACAGGCAAACTGCCAAGAGCGCGGGAAAACGCGAGTGAGCATGTCACGAGTGGCATTAGTTCTGCGTTTGATTGGTTGAGAAGATACGCGAGACTGGTTTTCGGGATCAATCACAGAGCGAGGAGAAGAAACCCAAAGTGATCCTCAATTACTTTCGACTCTCAGTCGAAAATTGCTTTGACATGATGGCGTCGGATTCGTCTTGAGTCAGAACTGTTTCATGTCATTCTCGGTCCGGCAACGGTTCAAGACAATCTTTCACCATCAGTTTTGCAGTTTTTTTCAAACTTTTTAGTTTTCAAATACATGCAAACACTTCTAAGTGTACAGAAGGCGAAAGGTTAACGCCAAAAACGAATGTAAAGCTTTATGTGGTGTGTTCTGGCGAAACGTAATAACTAAAGAATTCAAACTGGTTGTTATAAGACTCGGAGATATACTACTGAGGACTACAAGTTCTTAAGGTCAGGCTGTACGAAGTTACTGTAGATTATCGACGGGTTACTCAAGGAGTTATCGACGCAACAATGTAGCAAAAACGTACGTTTACCATAAAGTGCCTCACAGAGATTTCCATCGTATATCTATTATATGAACTCTATTCAAACGAGTAAAGGCCTGGCCAAAGACAGATCCCTCTATGAAATCTGAGTGCCATGTCAAGCCATGAAGTGTGAACCGCGACATTTCGTTCGAGTATCAGAGAGAAACCGCTGGAATAACATACTGGAGAGAAAGATCCTCATGAAGTAGAAGAAACTGGACCGCCTTCCCATGCACAATATCTGATGTGGAAAAGTAAATAAAGCATCAGTATTATAACCGCCAACTGACAGGAGATGCGCCCCCTGGGGGGGGGAGAATATTTCCTTGTTATAGGCTGATGGGGATGTGCCACTGAATGGGGTAGCATTTTCACGACTGGATCGACTATAATGGGGTTGCATTTTCAATATGGTTACTACAATAAGGTCATACAATTTCGACACTTTGAGAGCTAAAAAATTCTGGCAGGAAGGGATAAAAAAAATGGGAAGATTAGCGGTTAAGAAGTTGAACCATATTCACAAATGTGAGCAAGATGGAGTCTTTAATTGACCAACGAATAGAGTATAATGGTAGGGGTTTTCAGAGGTCAGCGGCACATACCCAGTAAAAATTGACCCAAGTTGCCCCCACCCCCCCTGCATCTCGTCCGATGGAGAAGAGAACAACTCGGCGACAACCAGTGCTGCTAAAACAATCAGACATGAAACTATTTAAAAAAATTTAATTTTAAATTGGTCAAACTTTAAATCGGACATTTTGGCATTTTAAGGTTTAGATTTTGCAAATCTGCTGCAGCGTTTTACACAATGTGAGGTCATAGTACTATGCTACTTCCAAGGGGAGCAAGTAAACCCCTGAAAACTACACAACGGAACAACACCCTCTCAGCAGTAAGATGATTTTGCCCTAGCTAAGGAAGATTGATTTGAAGAGAGGTTTTCAACTGGCCGTTAGCTGCGAGCAAGCCCTCGTAATAGCCTATTATTGGGCTCCAGGCCCTCGTTATCAGCGCTTAGGCACGATTGTTTCTTCACCAGCGTGAATGTACGAGGTTTGGAACAACACGAGCCCACGAAAGGCCTGCAAGGCGTCTAAAACTGATAATTAGCGCCAGACCCCTAGCAAACCTCTCCCCAACTCGTCTCAAATCTCCCCGCAGGAAGAGAAACGCGCGTCCTGTATAACGAGGGCCTACTCGCAAGCTAATTGGCTATAGAAACAATCTGGTCTTGTTTCGGTGAGCAACGCTGTGATTACTCCAAGGATCTCATCCCAACCTTTTAACCAGTCATAATAAACTTGGACAACTAGGTCCACGTCACTCGCATTTTCTGGCAATGAGGCCCAGGTTACATGTTTTAACTTCGAGTTCACATGGACACCAGATATTTTCCTTCCTACCGATTGGCCGCTGTGGTAAGTGTGGGTATGTGTGGTTATGCTGTGGGTATGGTTTACAAAGATCAAGCAAAAGGCGCTTCAAAAAGATCTTTACTTACTGCAGATGACGCGGTTTGGACTAACTTGCTGACTGTGTAGAAAGGTGGCGAGTTTCTTAACATCAACTCTTGCCTCTGCCATCTTGTCAGGATCCCGGTTCCGCTGTTGAGACGATGTGTCACCTGTAAATGTTTGAAAAACTGAAGTTTACAAGGTGCAGTTTGTGGTACACAAAAGTAGTAAAACAGATATAGCAGGAAAGTATCCAAGAGAGGAGGTAGAGCAGGGTTTCTTAGTAGGATAAAGGGGGTGAGCTTCTAAAGAAACTGTAGTGCTGCGTCGGTAGGAGAGTATAACAGGGTAATTTAATATTATCATCTGAGTTGGTATCATAAATTGGTCACCGTAAAGACTTTCAGAGCTGACCTTTTGAGCGTTAGCCCTTCGTCAGAGCGAATAAATACAAACACAACCCACAATTCCTCCATTTAAAACACCGTGACTCACTGGTTTGTGTGTATGTCTATACCTCTTACAAGACAACTTGGTTTTGAAACCCTGCAAATACGCCGCCTCACCGCTTTATCTCGTCATGCCCTCGCCATTAACACGTTTGTACATGGGCAGACGTTTGACCGCTGTTTTGAGTCAACAACTCTCTTTATTTGATAACTGAGCAAAATATCCTACTCAATCGGTAAACAAAAAAATTATTGACCCCACGTAGGTGTGTCCAAATTCTTGAAATGTGTTGTGACAGATGCTAAGTCCGTGTCGATTCCGAGAGTCATGTAACCATTTTGATTAGCTGCAAGAATCTAACAAAAACAAGTACAAAAATTAATGGACTTATTAAATAGAACTATTTTTAAGTGAGCGTCGAAAGTAATTCCCTTACAATGACGTACATTGGCAAAAGTTTGGAATGAAAAAGAAAAACTCAAGGCCTCAATCAGATGTCCCTTTTATCTATGACAAGAAAACCTTGAAGGTTTTTTAAATCGAGAATTTAAAACATAAATAGTGCAATTACTTGAAAAGTATAAAATCAAATTTACCAAAAAATTGCTGAGGTTCTTCATTCGTTCAATTACGTTCTTAACAACTGTGAGGGATGGCATGTAGATGCTCACCTGTGAAAAACAAAGAAAAATACATCAGCCATTCACCATGCATTCTCTTTATTATCACATCTATATATAAACTATTATGATCATACTTTGAAGGTTGCCTAAGTCTTGTGGGGGATGTGGTGCAAACTGCCAGAGCCCCCTTGGTACAAATTTCTTTCTTACTCCAGCCTTCCTCTACTGTAAAAATCAAAGATGGCAGCTTTAGTTTTCACTGAGAAAATACTAAGATCTGGCTTTCATAAAATAAGGCCTGTTCTGCAGGCTTCATTATTTTTTGCATGTAAAGAGGTACTGTAAAAGCTTGTCATTTTGCCCTGAGTGGATAGGGACATTGCGATAGGAAACTGCTTTGCCCAGGAACATGAAACAGTGACCAAGTGGGGGGTCAACACGGACCTTTTGACTCAGAGTCTGGAGAGATGCTAAGGACCATTGGTCAGTGTACTGGACCCCTGGTCGAGAGGTCTGGGTTCAAGACTTGGCTGGGTCAATGTGTTATGTTCTTGGGTACAACACTTCATTCTCATGGCACCTCTCTCTATCCAAAAGTTTAAATTGGTCTCAACGAATTGTCAGGGAAGCCTGAAAATATACTGGGACGTTATCTTGTGATGGACTGGCATCCCATCCAGGGGGAACTAGTAATACTCCTAATCACTTTACATCTAGGAAACTGGGATAAGCTGTTGATGCTGCTAATTGGGCCATTAAGCTCAAGTACAGACTTAACCTTGCCTTTTCAACTGACAATGAAGCCAATGATTCTACCCCAGTAGATAACCTACCACAAAAAGTCTTAAAAAGGGCAAGGAAGTTAGGATTGAAACAGCACTTACATCAAATTCAGGCATGGCAGGTTCCTTATAATCCTCCCAGTCTCTCTCAGGTATGACTCCTACTGGTACATCATGCACTACACTTCTTGTGTGACTGGTGAGGGACGGCTGCCCAAAGAATTTCAGTCACAAGTTAAGAACTCAATCTACCATAATATCAATAGGCCATTTCTGAATTACTTTTGGCCTCTTTTTCAAATGAGGTCTGGTACTAAACCAACGATGATGATCATCATATGATTTTTTATCACCATATCAATGTCAAAATTTCCAAGTCATCCATGTTTGAGAGCTGATAAAGGTATTGCATGAAACATTGACATGAGCAGCATTGCCTGCACTCCTATTGACAGTGGCAACTGGCCAATCAGATTGTGTCATTACTGCCGACTGTGGTACAATACATTTTTTTAAATATATTGACATTGTAAAAAGGGAAGGAAAATTCATTTTTGGCAACTCCTGGAAATGAAATGGTAAGAAATTTCTGCATTAAACACAGTTCAAACTATTTCAGTTTTCATACAATACTATCAAAGCAGCTTCACTTACCAATGTAATCTCAAAAGTTAAACATGGTGCGTGTTTTTTAGTAAGTTTTATTTTGACGGCTTGTGCACTGCTGGCTGATTTCATGGCTCGCATCAAGTTTTCTGGTATCAATTCAAGGTAAATATTGTTGCTCTCCTCCTTTCCTTCAATGCGATACTCCTCAAAAAAGTTGCTCTGAAATAAAGAAATCAATGCATGTTGTAATGACTAAAGCAGACAACTATATATCTTAAGGATCCAGTTTCACAGAAATTGTTTTCAAGTAGGTAATTACCACCAGAGAACATTATGCTGGGGTTGGCACTTTGTAAATTACTTGGGTGGAGTGGGTGGGTACATTGCACAAGGACAATGAAATCCTACCCAGGAGGGGTACTGATGGGAAATGTTCAAAGCTGGGTCAAGATAACCCAGGGTTAGAGTGAAATTTGATTCCAGGTCTGAAAGCTTTAAAATAAATTCAGTTCAAATCTTGTTGCTTGCAATTTAGTCACTGGATGTTCTAAAAAGACTAGGGAAAATTTTCCCTAAAAGGCTTTGGAAAAAAGAAATAAAGCAGCCTGGATCAAATATAACCCTTTGTTAGTGCTAATCAGCCTTCAAAAAACTGGGTCCTGGGTGGGAGTGTGATGCCAAGGCCTCTAAGCCATGAATCTAATTAGAATTTTCAAATCCAGAATTGACTAATCAGTCATTTCTCCTTACTATATCACAATATTATCATCAGATTTAACAGACCTGTATCAATTCACACCAAATGGACACTCTCCCAAGAGCAGCATTGTCAGCCAGTATAAAATAAAGTTTTGTCGGGGTCATTCGCAAGGCACACGTCTTGGCCATATGAGATACCGTGCCTAAGACACCTACATTGTCAACATGAAATAATATGGAAAGACATTTAATAAACGTTATCTTGACTTGTAAGCACATTTTAAAGAAAGAAGTACGTAAGTTTTACAAAAGGTGCGAGAAAGTGTCAATACTTTAAGTGTAACAAGGCTGAAAAAATGTGATCGTATAGTCAGCTGATCGTTTGAGAGTGGCTCTGAGATGGAGGGACTGTTCTCTATAACATTAGCGAGATTCATCCTCACAATGGGCAAACAAACCGATTTAAGATAGTACCACCCTTCAATTCAACAAAGCACTACACTGCATCCATTCTGCAATCTCTGTCATACGATGCGGCTTTCTATTTCGCTTTGCTGAAGAAAACGAATTATGATGTAATCTTATGACTTACGTGTGAAATGCTGTATGGAATTGATGTCTACCATCCTTGCTCGAAAACGCATATTGCTTGGCAATTTGGCAAGAATCAAAGGTAAACTCTTAGGTCATTTCTACTCAAAACTACCGCCATTTTGTATACTACCCACAATGCTCACCAAATCGTTTGATGCGTGGGGTCTGGGACAGAAAAACGTTAAGCAGGTTCTTACGGGTTATTAATCCTTTATATCTTCATGTACTTGTAAGGAAAATATTTAGAACTTTAATAATACCTCACTCGCAAGAATTTTCCCACTAATGAAGCTTTGAGTACTAAATAAAAACAATTTTATTTTTAAATACGTAAATTTCGAGCCGACTATACCATTGTGTCCTTGTGGCCTAATGGATAAGGCGTTGGCCTCCGGGTATGAAGGAAGTAGCCAAAGATTGAGGGTTCGAGTCCCTTCAAGGACGAATATTTCTTTTAATTTTCGCTTTTACGTGAGACGAAGAAAATTAGCGATAAAAGTTTAAATTAGGGTCGAAAGTCATTCACTTATCGCATGCGAAACGAGTTCATACGTAGGTATCTGTGTAAGGCTTTCACGTCTTTAAATGAGATATTTAACAAGAATTTTCCATACACCAGACATAAGCATGAAATAAATTGATTTCCACCCGGTTCCATCTACTTGGAGATAAAAATTTTACCACTTTAAAGACCATCATTATGCTCAGAGTAATACTCTGCAGCACTCTGGTTTATGTAACAGATAGAGATTATCTTTAAAAAATAAAAATTAAATGGTATATTAACTCCTTTAATACACAAACATCAGTATTGATATTCAACATACTGTTTTGTTTACAATTTCTATGTCATTGATGAGGAGAATTTTTCAGAAAATCATGAGCTTCTTAGATTTGTGATCATTTCTTATATTCTCATGGCCTTTGTAGTTGATTCAAGGGTGATATTTAAAGGAGAAATTAGTTGCCAATCAGTCCTAAGGGATAATATGAAGGGCAAGAGATTTTCAGTGAGTGGGGCAGAAATACCTCAGATCCTTTTGGGCTGGTATTTTGTACTGCTCAGGATTAGCTTTAAGAACTAATGTTGTGTGTACAGTTAAAATTTCAAACACATGAGCCTTTTTTGAAATGACTAAGGAGAAAGTTTCTTAACATTTTGTTTAGTATTTTTCTTAGAAATATGATGATTGGCTCAGGCAGACTTGCTTTACTTTGGTCATGGAAAGTTAACCCTTTAATTCCCAAGATCTGATTGTTAATTCTTCCCCCCAGCTGCCATACATTTCCATGTTCATTAGTTACGAGAACTTAGTGCTGGATCAAGGCAGCAGCTTCTACCTGATAAATTAGTATCCTCTCATTACCTGGGCCCAGTTGTATAACCCTTTAACTCCATGAGTGACCAAAACAGACTTTCTCCTTACAATAACAACCAGGTAAGTGATGAGAATAAAGAAAAATGTTAATTTGGGGATAATTAGTTGATCCAATAGTAAATTCCCTGAACTAATATTGTAAGGATTGTATGGTTGACAATAAGGAGAATTACAAATTTGATCTGGGAGTTAAAGAGTTAAAGGGTGGATAACACTATCAAATGGATAAATCGCTATCCAGCGAATAAGTAATAGCAAAACGTAAGGCGTTATCCACTGGTTATCCAATCTTCAAACAACTGGGGCCTGTTTGCTGAAAAATGTATATAGATATTATAGGGAGAAGTTTCATGTTAATCAGTTCTGGGAGTTAAAGGGTTAAGGATCTAAGGAGGGCACTGGAACTCTGTTGTCACAATTTCCCTGATTAGCAATTCTCTTTGTTAGGTGACATGCATTTCTATGTACATCAGTAAAGAGAAATTGATTTAATATCAAGACAATACTCACTACTTGAGTCTGTCTATTCCCACCACCTACTTGCTGAATAACATAAGAAAATTGTGAGGAGAAGAAACACTTTAATCACTGCTGGGAGGCAAAGGGTGAACTAGATAACAGTAAATGTTTTCATCACAATAAATCAATTGAACTCTAAATGTATAATTTATTGCAATTTTTTTAAATTTTATCATTTTACAATTAAATTCAAAGATATTTGTGTCAAATAAAAGATTGGGTTTTGTATTGCTCAATAAATTTCTCCCTGTGTTTCGCAAGGAAAAGCAAGATAATTTGAAATGAGAATCTAGCACTGCATAAGAAGTCTCTAAAGACTTTTTTCACACAATTTCAGTGCAAAAGTTTATTTAGTGTTACTGGAGCATGAACCAATAATTTAAATAGACAAAAAACTGACCATACTTCCTCATATGAAAAGTATTTCCTTTAAAGGGGAGGGGGGAACTCATTGAAAGGCAGGTGCTTAATCAAAGGGGGCCCTTTTTTAGTTTGTGCAGCAAAAGGACAAACTCAGGAACTCAGTGAGCACAAGGAGATAGAAATAGCTTGTATCCCAACCATTAAGAAAGTGAGGAAGGAGGGGGTGTATTTATTTCAGAGGGGTGCTTGTTTAACATTATAGCCAAGAGTAGTCAAAAGTTAAACTCCTCTGCATCAAAAACTAATGAAATCAATAATGTGTGGATCAAATTTGGTACCAATGTGCCGTGTACCAGTAAACTTGACATGACCTGTCTTTATCAGCTGCGTGAAACTTGAACAGCTGGAGCCAAACATGAAACCACCAGTACCTGCTGGGACACCCCCAAGACTACTGAATGCATTTGGGCCACTTTGTATACACCGACACTGTCGGAAATCTGCACCTGAGATGTCAGCATTCGTGAAATCAACCACTACATGACTGGAAAACTCACAACCATAGAAACTTGTGTTTACCAGACAAGCCTCTGCAAATGAAACATTATGTGCAAATGTGGTATGTGCAAAGGAAAGACCTGAAAGGTTTTTACCACTGAAATCTATATTATTTTTGGTCATGTTGTGGGAGACAAAGTCTGCATTTTTAAATCTGGAGGAGCCTACTGCTGCATCTGGTTTGGGCATGTGTTGACTTGGTGATGAAGGACGAGCGCTTGTGGAGGCCTGTCTCGTCAAGGTCGCCAGCATGTCATTAATTTCATCCTGGGTGAAGTCTGGCGCCGGTGGTGGCGGATCCAAGATATTCTCCACGCTAGCTACTAGATCACTGAGTTGATAATAGTGCGCCTCGTTTATGATTTCCCTCAGTAATACTTCATCCTGTGGAAGCAAATCAGGTCTAAACCCATCACGGAGATAATTTAAAATGTGCCTGAAATGGGTACCATCTCTGTCTACGAAATAACTTCCATCTGGTTCTTGTAAAAGTTTGTGCCTCCCTGAAAACATGGTAGCTAGCATTGAGTCTTTGTCTCGCCTCAGAGTCTGAAGGGAAGTCGTGAAACGATGCCCTCCTATGTTGAGATGAACAGGTGATGATTGGAATTCATGCACTTCTTCCATACTTTTCTTCTCTTTTTCAATCCGTTGCCTGGTCTCGTCAAGATCTTTGTATTGCTCTTGAATTGCCATTTCCTCGCTTTCTCGCCTAGCCTTCATTTCTTGTTCAAATTCAGCACGATCTCTTGCGAGTTGCTCGCTCAATCTCGTCAGCTCACTCTCGCGTTTTTCAAACGAAGTCAAGAGATCGTTAAGTTTTCCGTGAACTTCACGACTCCAAGATTCTCCGTCAGACATGTCTTTTAGTGTGGATAATCCTTTCTGGCAGACTCTTCTTCCGATTTTCAAAGATCGACTGATGAAAGTTTTTGAAAGGGGAATAACTATCGACGATAAGCCAAAACAAAGGAGAGACACGTGTTCAGCGGAACGTACTGCGGCCTCATATAGAACGACTTGAGTTGGAAAGGCAAAAGAATTGAGGCTCGTAACATATCTTGCTCTTGTAAATCATTTCCTAAGTGAAAGTATGTCTAATGTCACAAAGTAAGAAGCGAGTTAAACTGACGTGGCACTCGAAACTAGACTTTCTTGAGGTGTGGTAGTATGGGGAAGGGGGAGGGGAGGGGGACTTTCAATTCCTTTTCTGACGTATTGATGGGGGGGGGGGGGGGGAGGAGTGGCGGCTTGAACTTCACCTCTCAGGGACAGTTCCCACATGCCTAACTTAGCGCATTTCACCGATGATTCACTCTCTTTTCTACGTATGTTACTTTTCAAGATGGTGATTCGATATATATATTTATATTTATCTTATGAGTGTATAATAAGTGCCAGACCCCCGGCAAATCTCTCCCCGACTCGTCTCCAACCGCGGGCGGCGAAACATGCGTTTTGCATTGCAAAAAATGATTGCCAACTTGCAAGCGAGAAAAACGCAGTTGCAACTGTTTTAAGTTTGACGCTTATAAGTTCAACGGATGATACGAGTTTCAAAGACAAATTACAAGTCGCAGTGAATCACCAATCTCTGATAATTTCGCTCCAGCTTTAACCCTTTACACACTAACATCAGTATGCATATTCTCCATACTGTTCTCTATACATTTCCTAAGGTGCTGACAAGGAGAATTTGTTTAACAATCAAGAGTTTCTTTAGTTGGCGATCATTTCCTTTATTCTCATGACCTTCATGTATGATTCTGAGCTGATAATGTGGGGAGAAATTTCATGCTGGTCACTCCTAGGGGTTAAAAGGTTAAGACCAACAGGCTACAACTCGTTTTCCAACAATTCGCCTGCTTGGGCAACTCTATTTATAAAGCAAAAATTCCAACATGTGTTTAACTTCATTTTACGTTTTAATTCACACAGTTCTTCAAAATGTTACTCAAGTAACAATCCATGTTGCTGTACCCAGCGTCTGTTTCCCCTAGGTATCTGTCTTAAACAGAATATTTGTAATCTCTACTCGCGTTACATGAAAAATGCACTCTCTTTCAGCCAATCAGAAGCATGTGATTTTTTCATGTACATTATCAACCATTAAACACGTCCATATTAAATGATAAAACACGTTTATTCCACTAGGAAGTTTTGAGAGTTCAGGTTCATTTCCCCACCCCAAAAAGGCAAGGTCTAAGTCTCCACAGCATTGCCCATCTCCAGGGCCTTCGTCTGAGCTCGACTCTTCATTAGCTCCACTGTGTAAAGTTGTCAGGAAGGCTATCTAAGGCTTGCCTTGATCCTGCACAGTAGACGGGAGTGGGTATGTCTTAAGCAGTCGTTGAGAAGAATCTAGAGGTCAATACAGCTTGAGAGCATAAGTATTAGAGTTAATCAACGCGTCTTGATTCCGTCTTTTGTGATTTTGTTATTTGTGATTTTCCATTTCTCTTAGCAGGCTACCAATTCGAAGGAAAGATCTTGATTGAGTGCAGCACGTTCTGATCTCTTATCCTCATGAGTTCGATCTCATCTCCTATCATCTGGCGGTGATTCCCATGGCAATAAAATTCACATCTTTGAGCGTGTAAGCCAGAAAAATTCCTGTAAAGCAAATGCAGAACATAACATTAGTTAGCCTCCTAGACGCTAGGGGTTTTAGAAATCTCTCCTCCTTACTCTCGCCAAATTCTCATCACTTATCTGGTTGATATTGTATCGATATTGTAAGGAGAAATTCTGTCTTGGTCACTCATGGAGGTTTAAGGGCTAAGAGTGGTTAAAATTGACACCGATTGTAAATGACGAACTTGGAAGATTTTTCAACATCCCCAAAACCATAAGGGTGCTCAATCTGTGCATTTTCTGACTACTTTACCTGCGGTTTGCGGTCGGCATAGGGGCTTATCATGACGTTGATCAACACTGGTTTCTTATTCTTTCCCGTCTCGACGAAAGCACTTTCCAACGCTTTCTTCAGTTCATCCGGAGTCTCTGCGAAGAAACCTTTTCCTCCAAATGCTTCGATGATTCTCTCATACCGTGCCTTGGGTAAAAGAGCTGTTGGAGGTGCACTAGAGAGAAATGTTGACAAACAAACAAATCTTTTATTTATCATACATAATCTTTCTTTACCTATCACACAACGTGGAGAACAAGTTGGAATTGAGAGTTGAAGTAATCCGTGACTGGCTTAGTTTTGCTTTACTTCGCTGTGTGATTGGTCCAGAAAACTCGCGCCACTTTCTCAACCAATCAGATCCAAAAATAGAACCGATCGCGAATTGATCACTCGCGTTTTCCCGCGCTACCGGCAGTTTGCTTCTTTACTTTGAGTTTTCATTAGCTCTTTCGTATATTTCCTTAATTCTGATTGGCTTTTTGTGCTTTCTTTGGTTTGATTTTAACGACATGTGATCGAAAAGCACTTTAAGATGAGAATTGCTTATCCAAAACCATGGGAACTCCCACGGCATATCATCACAAGACTTAAATAACTCGAAATAACAGGGGTATACAATCATTCTGCCACTAAGAAGACTCGCCTCCAGTGAGCTCGCCACCAAGGCAATCACGCCACCACCAGGTCGCCACTAGTAAACTTGCCACTAAGGTCGCTAGCTAATTTGGTATAAATTTAAAGCTTAAGGCGACTCTTAAGTTTGATTTTGAGTCTCGCAAGCATCGCCATAAGGATGCCATGGGCCATACCGCATATAGCAATTCCAGTAACATTTGATGTTCAGTCGTACACCCCCTTACATGAGACAATTGAAGGACTTGCAACAGGCAATAAGAAAAAGGAAAACATAATTACATTATAATAACACTCGTTACTTCCTTTTTTACCGTCGACGGTTCACAACCACTTGTACCATGTAACTATACCTTTTTGCAGGATTGATTCCCAACTCGTCCCAGCTTTCCTCGTCCACTCCGTTGTAGATACCATTGTTGTTTACTATGATGAAGACGATTGGCAGATTATACCTGGGTTGACGGAAAATAAGTGAAATTTATAAAAAAAGAAAAAAAAACTCGACCACAACTAAAAGGTCCCTTAACGCTTAGCTTAAATGGTGCTTCTCCTTCAAAACTGCTGTAGACTTTTTTTGGTGTTAGTCGTCAGAATTTTGTGGAACATCTTTATTAAGTAGAAAGTAAAGCAGTGGATAACGTTGAAGGCGCTATGCTATTCACCTCCGGGAAACTCGCACGGGATTTGCGCCCGGAAATATTGTAATCGTTGCAAGAATAAATGAGTTAAAATCATCTTTTTGTGATATATTATCTCACTTTTTTTTGTTTTATTCTAAAACAACTATTCACCTCAGTGTAAGTGTCCACCTAGGAAAATCCATTGTTTGTTGGTTTTTTTCAAATTCTTAACACCTGCACGCTAAACAGTGTATTGATATTACAAGAGGACAACAGATGCTGATCTTTAAATGTTTATTGCTGTATGATACCTGCATGCAGTTTCAAGCTCCATTCCTGAGAAACCAAAAGCACTGTCGCCTTGGACGCACACCACCCTCCTGGGGGGATTTTTGTCATCAGCTTCGGACTCAGCTAACAGAGCAGCAGCGATGGCAAAACCAGTTCCCACTCCCATTGTACCAAACGTGCCCGCATCTAGCCTGGGATGAAACGCAAGGAAATATTTACAAAGTGTAAGCTGTGGAAGTCAATCGATTTAATTTAACATAACAATAGTTTGTGCACAAAAACTCGTCTGAGTTGGAATTTCTCTCCTTAAGATTCGATTTCTTTGTGTGCGGGTTTGAAATTCACATTAGATGATGCGGTAGCCTGACGCATTTTACTCTTGATTGAGCAATTTTCAATCTAGTGTCAACAGTAATCCAGGACTGCTTTGGTTTTGCTTTACGTCGCTATGTGATTGGTTTAAAAAACTCACGCCACTTTCTCGACCAATCAGATTCAAAACTTAAACCAAAGGCGACTCGGCCACGTAAGTTTTCCCGTGGTTCACTTGTTTTTACTTTGAAATTAATTTGTCTCTTGTTTCGATTGGCTGTTGTATTCACTTTGGTTTAACCCTGTACACCCTAACATCAGTATGCATATTCTCCATACTGTTATCTAATACATTTCTTAAGGTGCTGACATGGAGAATTTGTTCAACAATCAAGAGCTTCTTTAGTTGGTGATCATTTCCTATATTCCGATGATCTCAAATGAATGAATTAGCAGTATTATTGTAAGGAGAAACTAGATGCTGTTCAATCTTAGGGTTTAAAAGGTTAAGTTTCGACGGTGTTGGTCTAATAGTGTCTTGTCTAGACTGTTCATGTAAAGTAATAAGTCTCTGAGTAACTACAAAGTTAAAACAGATTTACGACAGATTTTGAAAACAAAAAAAAGAATGAAATTACATCATACCTGTTTCGAGGGAGGTGATTGGGTATCATGGTTCGTCCAATGTCCATTGTGTTTGCTCCTTCATTAACTACAACACAGTCACGCGGTAAACGCTTTGTGAGCTAGAAAATGTAGAAAAGTGCCAGTTTCAATTCAGCGAAATCCCTTACCTTCTGTTTTCCAGGAAAAGTATATTCCTGTGCTTCAAATTTGTTCACTCCCCACCCCAAGCTATGTAACCATGCCTCTTGTGCAGAATGTAAGACCATTTAAGGCCACTAGGACTATTTTTAAGAGTACCTGAGTACTCATTTAATTACATGTAACAGTCCATATGGACAGGGAGGTAAATGAAATGTTCAGTTTCATGGCTAGTGAGCTAGAATCCGTTTCTAGAGGTCTGGGTTAAAGTCCTGGGCAACTCAATGCTTCTAATGGCCTAGAAGTATTAATAGGTAAAAACCTGGCAATTAAGTAAGGATCCCAGCTAAGTGCAGAAGGAATACTTCTGGTCACCTTATGCCAGGGAAGCTGCGATCATATTTGGCAATATGGACCACCACGCTTGCACGATGACTTTAAAAATATGAATACTCCACTTACCTGACCATAAACTTGGTAGTAATTCATTGGAACAGAAGTCTCGTTGGCAAGTTCCTGTTGAAGTATAAATTCATACTATATAAGCGAAATTTGATAACGTGCTGTCAAACCAACACTTAAAAGAGCAACTTTGAACTCAAAGTTGAAAAAATAAAGAAAGACAATACCTATACCTCATTGACTTGTTTGTTTGTTTCTGACTTTTCCTTAAGTTCTTTTCTCCAGCTGGGGGAACCACATAGATTTGCTAGATCTTCTCCAAACTTACTCTTTACTGCTTCTCCCAGCTACAGAAAAAAATAACTTGCCATGAAGTCTCAAATAGTGTAACTTGTGGGTTCACCAAGACACTTCATCAGACACAATTTAAGAATGGACAAAAAGTTTATCAGGTTTCAAAATAGAGGCTTTATCAGACCCCATTGAGAGTTGCAGTTCTTATTGATCAAACTAAAAGAAAACAAGAGGGGTTTTAACCCTTTAATTCCCACATCAAATTTGTAATTCTCCTTACTGTCAACCATACAATTCTAATAATGTTAGTTCAGAGAATTTAGTATTGGATCAACTAATTATCCCCAAATTGATATTTTTCTTTATTCTCATCACTTATCTAGTTGATATTGTATTGATATTGTTAAGGAGATTCTGTCTTGGTCACTCATGGGAGAAAAAAGGTTAAGGTGCTATATAACAGCATTTTTCAATCTTATTGGAGGTGCCATGGCCTGACCATTGGTACACCTGAATCTGTGTCCAGAGGTGCAAGACCTGGTCTACTCATTGCATTGTGATCTTGGCAAGATAATTTAGCCACACAGTGCCTCTCTTCACTCAGGAATATGACTGGATAGCAGCCAATGTTTAGAAGCCTAAAAAAATGCTGAGGGGTAATCATCAGTCAAAAAGCATCCCATCCAAGGAGAAGTACCAAAACTCCTTGTCTTTTTGTGCCTTGGTGACTGGAATAAGTTTTGATGCCGTGTGGGCCACTTGACTCAGGCCCAGACCTTTTTCTTAGCCCTTAAATAGTATGACACCTAGAGACAACTAGAGTTTTTGAATGTGTAGGTACAGCAAAGAAGAAGGAATAAACCAAAATGGAAAACAAGAGGTTAGGGATAGCTAAAATGAATATTTTACACCAAAACATCAGTTTGTATAATCTCCATACTATTCTTTTTATATTTCCCAAGGTGCTGACAAGGAAGATTGGATTAATAATGAAGAGTTTTTTGGGTTCATGATCATTTCCTATATTCTTGTCACCTCAATGTTTGTTTCAGGGGTGATAATGTAAGGAGAAATTGGATGCTAGTCACTCTTGAGGCTTACAGGCTTTTCAAACTTTGAAAAGTTTAAGCCACACATCTAAAGCTGTACCTACCAATACATATTAGAGACAAAGACTTTTTGAGGAGCTACAAGCTAACCATACAGGTGTACCTGTTCTGCTACTCTGTTTAAATCTCCCAAAAGCACAACCTCTGCACGTACATTGTTATTCATTTCCTCTGCATGGAGATCAACCTAGAGAAAAACAAAAGTTGAGCAACAATCCACGCTAAACGAGAAAGTCACTGAATGGTATTGTATTCCTTAATTTTAACTGTGACAGTTGTATTTAAATGGTTTCATAAGATTTCAAAATCCATGTGGAGTGACACTAATTAAATTAAGATGGCTCATGCAAATTAAGATAAGGGTATATTTCAACCCTTTAACTCCCAAGATCTGATTGTTAATTCTCGCCTCTAGCTGCTGCACATTTCCTTGTACATAAGTTACGAGAACTTGGTGTTACATCAAGTAAATGTCTACCTGATAAGTTTGAGTATTATCATTACCTGTTTGCTAGAAAATGTATGGATAAGTATTTACCGACAGCTTATTTGAATTATATACCTGTATTATTTTAACATCAGGCCTAAATCTTGGCGGTTTCCCAAAATGAAGAATCCAGTTCAATCTTGCACCAAACAGAAAGATCACATCAGCTTGAGATAAGGCTCTGAGGACAAAAGTACATATGAGCATAAGGAATATTAATGTGGCTAGAACAATTAACAATTATTGGCCAAAGACAAAGTGAATATGTTTGAATAGTCCTGCAGATGAAGTCTGAGGCAAACAGTTGTTTTGGTGCAATTGCTCAGACAGGTGCTTCCCAATTCTGTTGTAAATTCATTGTGTTGTTAGCACCATTCTGTTTCTATCGTTTTGCTCACTTTTATCGAATTGAGATAAGTAGCCAGTCTCCATTAGAATTTAACAGGTTTATCTAATTCAATCAGGTTTATCTAATTCAATCTGTAAACGTGTGACCTCAAGCCTGGTGGTACACATATGGTTAGTTTTGTGCTCTATGGACTTAACTTATCTTCTATTGCATTCATCCTTTCCTCGATGACAATCACAAAACATGAGATGACTTATTAGGAAGACAGTAACTGAACTAGCATGGTGTGTGATCAGCGTGCATGCACGCAGGCTCAGAAACATTTTCAATTTGTAAGCTCATAAGCAAAGTGACACATGCAATTATAGTGTGTGTGCATTTAGTTTTTGAGAGCTGTATTTTTGAGGACTTTTTACCAGGTTTTATTATAAGCCATGTCACTGTGTTGAGGTTGTTTTGGCTGATTAAACATGGAATTGTTTTCCAAAGGGTTTTCTGTAATTGCTTAAGGACATGAATAAAGCAAGATATGATGCAATCCTCAACCAATCAGAATGCCTGCATCCCTTTAATCACCAGAAGAATCATACCTAATGCTTTTAGCCATTACTGAGATATCAATAATAACTGAATGAGTGAGCAGTAAGTTTGTTGCTTGCAGAAAAATTCCCCATTGTAGAAATTCCTGAAGTTTGTATCTCAAAGGAAACTTGCCTTTTTTCCTTGGGAAAAATGTGCGACATCTTCCTAGTTTATATTTATCATAACTGTATAGTAATAGCTTGTATTTCATGTTATTCATAAACAATAACTAGAGGTACTTACCTTGATCTTGCTGCAGCTACACAGAGGGGATGTTCATCAGAAATCACTCCCTTCCCCATGGGGGTGGGGAGAAATGGCAACTTGCATCTCTCTACAAATTCCTGGAGAGGTTTCTCAGCACATGCATATGCAGCACCTGCAAAAGGAAATTGAATATCCAATATGAATACTGACTATACAAATTATTGAAGAGGTCAGACTGTTGTAGATTGTGTAATAAACCCTTTACACCCTAATTTCAGTATGTATATCCTCCATACTGTTCTCTATACATTTCCTAAGGTGCTGACAAGGAGAATTTGGTTAACAATCAGGAGCTTCTTAGGTTGGTGATCATTTCATTTATTCTTGTGAATTTACTGTTTGATTCAAGGGTAATATTGTATGGAGAAATTAGATGCTAATCACTCTATAGAGTTAGAGAGGTTTAGAAAAAAATGCAGCTAACAAATGATATTTGGATCTAATAATTCCTGATCTTTGCAAAACCAGCTCTCCTAGGCCCATATGATTACACGTCACTTATCTGAAGAAAAAGCTACCAGTTTGTAAGAAGTGTGGCATTTTTTGTCACTCTTTTACACCAGGTACAACGAACACAGCAGACAGCTCTTAACCCTTTAACCCCTAAGAGTGATTAGCATCTAATTTCTCCTTAAAATATCACTTCTGAATCAAACATTAAGGTCATGAGAATAAAGGAAATGATCACCAACTAAATAAGCTCTTGATTGTTCAACAAATTCTCCTTGTTAACTCCTCAAGAAATGTATTAAGAACAGTAGGGAGAATATGCATACTGATGTTTGGGTGTAAAGGGTTAAAATGGGTAACTGGAACTTTAAGTTTTGCCTTTTACACCTTAACATCAGTATGCACATTCTCCATACTGTTTTCTAAACATTTCCTAGGGTGCTGACAAGGAGAATTGGTTCATCAATCAATAGAATATTTAGTTGGTGATCATTTCCTTTATTCTCATGACCTTACTGTGTAATACAAGGTTTATACTGTTAGGAGAAATCAGATGCCAGTCACTTTCTTTCCCTTCAAATATTTTGTCTCTTGACACCCATCCAAATCACATTTTCTCTGGCATCAATTTAAGAAAAATTAGCTGAGTTTTTTTTTTGTTTGTACCTTTTCCAATTATAACTAGAGGTTTTCTTGCTTCACTGAGAACCTGGACAGCTTTGTCAACAGCAAATGGATCGGCTAGACACTTGGGTGGAGGAGGTGAACAGCAAATTTTCCTGAGTGTGAAAAAATACTTTTACTGTTTAATCAAAATCAAACTATAGATTTTAGGTCTCTGAGGTTCAATTCTCTCATCATATAGGAGACCAAGTTTGAATTTAATGTAGCAAAATGTACATAAAAATATCAATTTAAGCCTCAAATGCTACTTGGTTTAAAAAAAAAGAAAATAAAATATAGTTTTCCATGACTGAAACCAAATGTGATTCTTTAAATTCATGGAACATCAAGCTATCAAACTGAAGCTCCTGTAAAAGAATCTCAAGTACATTGTGTAACTCCATGTCAATTGCTTACAGTAGCCTAATGATTTTCTTGGAGTCTTTTTTTCTCTTAAGTATTACAATGATTTACAAATTAAAACAGTTCAAACTTTAATCACCAATCTGTCCTACAGCACACTTATACCACCCATGTCACTCTTGAACAACTTTACATTGTGTGTACTGCTAGTCACCTTGCCTTGCAGGCTGCAACCTTCTCTGTAATCATATTCCCTGGTAAGTCCAGATAACATGCACCAGGTCTTCCATACATACTTGTCCGCACTGCCTATTAATAAAATTATAGCATAAAAAGTCACAAAAAATAATCAGTAATAAAACGTTACCTGATTTCTAAAAGTTGATGTAATCTTTCAGAGAAGTTTAATTATCTGCTGAACTACAAAATATTAAAAAATACTGCAAAATTGCAGCAAAAGTTCTACTATTGCTGTTGAAGTATCTTTTCTAGGAGGAAGTTGACAGACCCAGAAAGATGGACTTTTCCACATCTTCCTGAAATAAATGAATCTGCCTTCTTTACCTTTTCAACAAAGAATGGTATCACTCCTACACTGCTTGGTCTTGCTGAATACTTGCTGTAAGGTCTTGCTGCTTCAACCTGGGATAATGAAATCATAAGTAAAGAGTTCTTGGCAATTGAAAACACTGGTCTACAGAAAGTCGATCAATTACAAGGGGTTTCACCATAATGGAGTAGCAATCTAACCTGCGTGACAAGAAGCAGTTACAATAAAAGTAACTTGTACTTGTTTCATCTAATAGAAACATTCCAAAAAAACAACAGAAAGTGTGATAACCTATAAAAGTGCTAGGCAGGTAGATTTGTAATGCTGAAAACACCTAGTTCTTAAAAAAATATATTACTGAACATAACATGGCTACCACAAAAAAGAGAAGTACCCAGAAGAACAATGCATGTATATAAAGCTAGCACATATGAGAGAGGCATATTGATTTCAATTGTCTGTATTATTTGATGTTCATAAAAGCTTAAATAGGAAGAACATTTCATATAGGGTGCAGAAAAGAATAAATTAACTCCCGTGACTGACCAAGAAAGAATTTCTCCTTACAATATCAACACAATGTCAAGCAGTCAAGTGATGAGAATAAAGGAAAACATCCATTAGTGGATTATTGGTTGATCCAACACCAAATTCTCCAAACCGACATCATAAGAATTGTAAAGCAGACTGTGATGAGAATTACTAATGAGATCTTGGGAGTGAAAGGGTTGGGTTGCCTGTCTTGTGAGTAGGTTTTTTTTCTTTCTTTTTTCATGATTATTGCAAACAGTGCTTTTTCAAACCACTGTACCCTAAACAAATTTACTAGAGAAGTATTGAGTACTTACAAACCTGTGGAAATTCTTGAAAAGCACCCATGCTTTCTTGATCAACATCACTTGACCCACCAATCACTAACACAGGCCTGAAGAACAATCATTCAATACCCTTTACACCCTAACATCAGTATGCATATTCTCCATACTGCTTTCCACACATTTCTTTAGATGTTGACAAGGAGAATTTGTTTAAAAGCCAAGAGCTTCTTTAGATCATTTCCTTAAGTTAATTCTTGTGCTGTTAATTTTTGATTCAGGGGTAATCACGTACCAAGAGATGAGATGCTAGTCACTCAGGTCAAAGGGTTAAAACTATTAATAGTCCTGGTAGTAACCACAAATAGAGAAGTATGTGACAGCAAATGAATGTTAAAAAAAAAAAAAGAATTTCAGTTACTGTTCCTTGTAGCTCACAGTCTTCCTTAAGCTTTGATCTTTGAAAACTCTTCTCATCTTTGAAAAGGTAATGTCTGTGGACAAATATTTGTGCCTATTTTGGCTCCAAATGGATGCTATTGTTTTTATGGTTCAGTGGCCAAGCATAATGACAACAAATCTGAAAGTCTTAGGTTTGATTCCTCATTGGGGAATCTGATGTTTCCATTGCCCCATTGCTGTTAACATGATGTTTTTAATGGACAACATCTTTTTCCATTTGATAATTGTGCCCAAATTATCCAACTAAAAGAATGTTGCAAATTATATCAAAGCTTGAGAAAGGAAGCATTTGGGACTGCAGAGTGAATAACAAATTACCAGAAACTCAACTTTTGCAGGCTCTTACATCCACACAGATAAGCTAGTTATTTATATGATTTTTACTCTTTTGTTGATTAATGTAGTTTGTTTTCTAGAAACACATTAACATCATTTTTTCAACTGTTTTTTAAGAGTACTTTAATCATCAAAGTTTAAAAAACATCATCTCACAATAATCTGCATAAACTTACCAGCAGTTACTCATTGCATTTGCCATTCCTCCAAGAGCATGCAATAATCCTGGACCAGAAACTACAAGACAGACACCAGGTCTGCAAACAACCATTCAGTTAGATCATAAATGAATATGAACCTGTATCTTGTGGGTATTTTTTTTTTATCTTAGTTTCAATGCCTTAAGTATCACTTTCAAATACCTATAATGGTTTACAGAATTACAGACAAACTGTGCAATTATGGAGGGTAGGGACAGTATAGTGTTGACAATCCTCTCAGGATTAAATCTGTGATATTATAACTTAGCTGCTTTATGATTTGGCTCAATACATGGTAATTTGTGGTCGTTCTGAATTTTGCATTTGAGATAAATTATTCCTCAAGGGTTTTTTTCCTATCTCTCATTTTCATGGGTTCAAAAGAGCCCATGTTATATTGCACAGTAAAATCCTTGGATGGTAAATTCAGTAATTGATAGAAAACAAACTGAATATCTTACCGTCCAGTCAAATATCCAACCGCTGATGCCGCATAACACGCCTGTAAGGATAAGTTCACTCATGTTATCCAAATTATACTTAGATCAGACAAACTGTACCCTGCATCAGGCGTCCCTATCTTGAAAAGAAGGGAGGGAGAGGGGGGAGATTGTGTGTATAACAGCGTGTAGTGGGAGTGGGAGCGCGTGACAGTGACTAACAGGGTGGAGGGGGAGGG